CCAACATACTATTTATTTTATTTAATTCATTTTGTATTATTATATTTTAGTTATGCATAAATTTGTTTTCGTTCTTTTCTTCCTTGTATTGCTGCTTATCAGCTGTTCAATATAAACTTCCTTAGCTTAGAATGTATAATATAAACATTCTCTTTCCTTCAGTATGTTTTTGGTTGGTTTTGTGATATGTCTACAACATTTTTTTTAATTTTTTTTATTTCTAAGTGATCTTGGTTCTTCTGCCCTGACGATAGCTGAATTGGTGAAACGTTGGCAAATTAATTAGTTGAAAACTCATGGCTTTGTAGTTTGGATGTAACGTATAATATTATAATCGGTCATTATATTTGTTTACCTTATAAGTTCAACATGAATCAAGCAATGTTAGAAATCTTACCTGCAACAGACAGAAAAAAAATTATTAATTGAAAAACAAGACTAAATTGTATAAATTAATAACAATAAATTAGTCATAAATTATTATGTTAACAGGGCAGATTTTCGAATAATATATGAAAATTTAAGGTCGTATGAATTCATATATTTTTTTTGTTGAGGGGAGAGAAGAGGAGGGGGTGGTTTATTCCACTCGCTGATATCACAATCCTTGTGCAAACAAAGTATCTGATCTGACCTACACACGCACTGATTTCATGAAATATTCATAGAGCTGATTCCATTGCTATACGACACGTTTAATAAATGGAATTAATATGCATGAGGTTAAAGCCTATATAGTTGATAATAATTATGCAATCCAGGGAGATATTGTTGAATATCAACGCTAAACAAGGGGTACAAAATGCAAAACAATGAAAAAAAAAAACATATGAGATCGATAAAATATTCAAGAGATTTTTTTTTTGTATCCTATATGTTGATTCGAAGCAACGAAGAAAGAGAGCCCACGTTAATTAATTAATGATTTGAAATATTTATTTATCAGAGGAATAATATAAAATGAATAATTACAAAGAAATAAACCATATTATAAATATATTGTGTTTGCTCAATTTGGGTTACTTTTCCGTTTGAGTCAATTAATTTCAATTTAATTTAATATAATTATATTTTTCTTAATTTATTGTAACGTGTTTTTTTTTTTATTTCACTAATTTGATTTCACAACATCCTTAATCTACATATCACAGAAATAAAAAATGATAATACATAGAAATTTTCTTTTTAAATTCATTGTTGTTTAATATAAACAAAATCGAGTTTATTCAAATGAGTTAATTTCAAAGTTTCAGATTACATATTTAAAATATATATATATTCTTAATTTGTTGTACTTTTAATACTTTACTACTAACGGAGGTCTTTAGGTTTTGGAAAATAAAGTATTGCGCAGAATATTTGGAACGAAAAAGGACGAGTCAACTGGGGAATTTGGGCGGCTACACAACGCTGAATTGAGTGAACCGTATCCGGTTAATATAATCAAGGTGATTAAGTCGAGGCAAATAAAATGGGCATATAAAATCGCTGGAGTTAGTAAAGAAAGAATTGCTAAAAAGGTAATATGCGCTGTACCGACTGACAAGCGTTCGAGAGGTAGACCAAAGCGAAGATGGGAAGATGGCGTTAAGGCTGTTTTGGCGGGATTGGGTTTAGATGGAGCCCGGTGGACGGAAGAATGTGGACATCGATTGGTGGTATCAGCATCGAACCTTCGGGTTCGCTAAGCCTTCTTATTATTATATGTATCAAAAGAATTAACTCATTTGAATATCTTTATAATTAATTTCTCTTCTCAATTGAAATAAAGTATAAATATTTACTTCATTGCTCCGTAACATTAAAAAAAACATTATTATTTCTTTAACGTTTTCTTGATCTACTAATGAAATTATATAAACGAACTACATAATATCTTGAACGACGATTCCATAGCAAGGCGATGTGATGAGTATAAATGTTTTTGTTTTTTTATCCTTAACCCGTTGAAGAATCAAATGTCCACTTCTTAACGGATTGGTAAACTTAAGAAAACCAGATACAATCCAAGATTGGTTAATTAGAAAATAAGCCTTATTACTACAATTAAAGATCTAAAATCTATAAATTGAAAAAACCAATGAATATGCCCCCCAGAACCCAGAACCCATAAAATATTAGTACTACATTACATATAATATGGAATAGGGTTCTTTAAAGGAAAAGAATGATCATATACAAATCCCATATCGTTCATGTCCAGCGCTCAGGTGACTTTGCATACGACCAAAGTAACAATTTCCTCTTCCTGGAGGATTTCCTGTTCGAGTTGACAGTTTTACCAACCATGTTTAAACAACATATAGTAATAAAACTTGCTCAATTAAACAGTAAAAACTATCTTCAAATAATGAGGTTGCGATATACATACATCGTTTATCAACTTTTTTTCTCTTTCAAAATTAAATATAAAAATACACCTAGCTCAATATACTTCATTATTATTTCAACTTTCACTCTTTTCTACTTTCAATATTTCCGCCAGAAGATGAGTTGAAAGATGATATAGATCCTTCTGTTTCCTGGAGAAAAACTCGTCGCACCCTAATTCAACTTTCACATAGTTTTTGATGTACCGTTCAATCAAAAAATGTTTTATCGACAGAAAAATACAATTCAATGGTAGAGAAAGTATTGAATAGCATATTGAATATTTCATTTTGTTGCTCAGTGGCAATAAAAAAGAATACTAATTATTATTTCATCCAGTTGATGACAAATCAATTAGTTCAGTTTGTCTAAACTTGGTTTGGATAAACAAGTTAAGGAAGAATCTTTTAGTGCGCATGAACCAGTTTAAGTGGAAAACGTAACCACCTCTATGTTGCTTACAACTTTGATTTTGTTTTCTTTCTTCTTGATAATTCAAATTTTGCTTGTAGTCTCTTGTTTTCGAATCAACGAGAGTCGGCTGTATCACAATTCTTTTTTTTCAGAAGTCTGTTTTCCATCCGCGAAAATGTCTTCCATTTCAAAAGTATAAATTAACATTTCCGATAAGTCCAGTTTGAGGAAAAACTTGTTGGAACATAGCAGGCATAAACATAATTTTAAACCAGTACAACTTCTGGTTTTAGACAGTAAATACACAGAGACCCAGATCTTTTTTGAGACTAGGTTATTTGGATTTGGACGCGGGGCTTGAAACACATATATTAATTTGAAAAATCTATTTAGAAAGCTTTAATGACCGCAATATATGTCCATATTATACAATTTATTTAGAGGTAAGTGCGATAAAAAAAAAGAAAGGAATTTACGTGAAATATATAAAGTCCATAAACAAGATGTTCTGACGATGAGGAAAATAGTTCCGTAAACGTCAACAAAAAAAGTCTCTTGTGAAGAAATAAAAAAAAAAAAAATGAAAGAAAGTTTAAAATTTCCAACTTGACCTATTACAAATTGTAAATTTGTACTCATTTAAACCATTTATTTTATTATTGCGGGTTTATGGTTGACTGTAATGAGTAATTGAAGAGAATTATGGTTGGGGTGATCAGTCAAATAAAAATGGCAAAAATAAATAATTTTATTTATTTTTACATTCGTCGACGTTTCAGATCGAAGTTCAGGCCTTCATCAGGGCTGCTGTACAAGAAGTAAATCATATAATTGGGTTTGATTTTACTTCTTGTAGCAGCCCTGATGAAGGTCTGAACTTCGATCTGAAACGTCGACGTATGTACAAATAAATAAAAGTATTTATTTTTGCCATTTTAATTTGACTGATCACCGCAACAATCCTTCTATTCAATTATTTTATTTATTTATTTATTTTTGCCTGTTGGTATTACAGACCTTGTACATCTTTTGCCGACTTAACAATCCTGCATGTATCCAAACCAAAAATGTTTTAAACCAAGAATAAATAAATTTAATGTTTTCACTGGGAAAGTGTCGAAGAAAACGTCAGATAAATAACAGGTGATACCTAAAATCTAAAACAAATTTAATTTGCATGAGGCGTATTCGTATGCACAAATGATTTGAGATATACCCTACTTAAAAAAAGTTGACATTATAAATCATAAAAAAGTTTCTAAAAACTTTCAACACAAAATAGCACAAAAAAAAAAACTTAATACGGTAAAAAACATATATATAATACAGAGAAAAGTATGTAACTAGGCCGACATATAAACGGATACGACGATGAGGTTGGTAGTCCTGAGATAGGATCTACATGGCCGTGGAGCCGGCTCATTATTGGTTAATTAGACACGGGCTTCCCCAACCACGGCCTCCTCTAGCGCACAGCTATAGATATAGTTATATATAATCAATTTTCATTTCATACTCCGAATAATTCCCATTAAATTAAAAATTCAATTTGAAAAGCTGCTGGTAAGAGCGAATAATTTTTTGATTGGATTTAGACCAAAGGATCGCAAAGTTATCTTTTACCGAGAATATTCAAGCCAAGGAGGAACTTAAATAAAGTTTACACCTAGATTGTTGGCGTAATGATAAATGAGATAGAGAAAACAGATATATAATATAGAAAGCTCAACAGAAAGCGAGAATGAATTAGTCAGCTTATGAACCTTTATACCAATTCCACTTCATTTATAATAAATGAATATTGAAATTAGAAACATAAGAAGAGACAGCGGAAAAAAATAATTTTATAAAGATTTCTAAAGGTTAGTCTGTGATACAGAGCCCTTTTTTTTTTTTTATCAAATAATTAACATCCGTCTGAAGCTTCGTAAATAGCTTCATCACATCGTAACCAACAAACATTATATTTACGAAAATTCTCGGAATGGGAGCGTTTTCAATCTTGAGATCTGCAAACTTAGCCTATTTATTTAATAGGTGCTAAAAACTCGTAATACCTATTTGCTTTCCACTTGGATCGTAAGATAATTTGATCACAAAAGTCTGTACCACGGACTATTCTACGAAATTATTAACATTTCCTCTAAAAAGTTTAAATAAAATTATTTAAAATATAATTAAATATTTTTAATAGTTATAAAACTTGAAACGTTTTATTATTCTAATATAAGTATGTTTTCTTTGGAGAAATTTACTCCTCTTCCCCTAAAAAAAAAAATAAATAAATAAAATACTGGCGTCAAACAAATACACAATGGACTAAAATATTTTTTTTCTGCTAAAATTGAGCATTTTTTTTTTCCAGGAATTTCAGAATAACTATTTGGTTCGGAAATTTCGTACAGAGGTGAATAATTATTTGGGCAATAGGAATATTTTTGGAAAACTAATTTTCACTTTGCGAAAATTCCATCATGCCGGCAGTAAACTTTAAATTTCATTTTTATTGAAAGGACTATGTTGGACTATCGTTTACCAATGGCACTTAATTTTAAATAAGCGACAACTGTCTAATACTGGATTCGCGAAAAAATAAATAATCTAAACAAAATAGGGGGTAACGTTAAAAAATTAATTTTACAAAATTAACCTCATACAACGATAATTAGTAGCTGTCCCGTATGGGGTTTAGATATTAAAAAATAATACTTAAAAAAAAATGCATATTTTACTGACTGATTATCTTTAAATTTGAAAGAGACAAATAATCAGGATTTGCAGTATATAGTTTCATTATTCTTGCATAGTTTTTTTTTTATTATTTTTTAATTAAATATCACAATATAGTGCAAATATTATTTATTGCTAGGTCATAATTGGAAAAATTCCAACCACAAAGCCTTATGTCTTTGTGCTGAAACAGATTTTTATAATTTTCTCAAAAACGGGTGTGACAATTTTGATTAAACTCAGAGTGTCATTGTATAATGAAGTGGTCTTTAATATCAATCAGGTCTTAAACCCATTGATGTCACTTTACAGGGCTTAAGTGCCCAATGTTCATATACGGCTTCCTCTAAAGTACCTTTAATATGGTTTATTTTAAATAATTAATCATCTCACATTATTAAAAGTTACTAAAAAATGCTAAATATAACTTTTGACAGAATTTGATAATTGAACAAAGGAGAACAAAATAAAAATGCTTATTCAGGTATAATGAAAATGAATCTCCGGAAATACTAGTCAGAAGGTATGCGTATGATCTATCGTTGGAAAGCGGAGAATTTTAGAAAAAAACAATATCTAATATAGAAAGTTGTGAAAGGTAACGGAGAGCTGCAAAAAAATTATAAATAATATTTTTTTTAAACTAATATTATCTAACGTAAATCACATGTTTTCAAGGAAATTAAATAAACTTTTCTTGCTATATGTTAACTTTTAAATGTTTTCCTAAGATGGAAAAATAAGTATTGAAAATTCACAGAATCAAGCCAATATTTAAAATACTATTTCATAGTACTTGTGTGAAAGAAGAAGTGAGATATAAAAACAATTTATGGATATATTTATAACCTCAAATATACTTACAATAGAGTATTAACTCTAGTTTTATTTTTTGTCGGCATTTTGGAGGGATAAGGTTGTGTGGTTTGAATTTTTCGAATTATAATTTAACATCTATGTTCTGTCTTTTCGTAAGTTTTTTTAATGATTATATTAAATAATTTATTGCAAAAATATTTTTAACTTTATTCCTTGAACATATGACAAAAGTCTTGGTGAGGTTTCATACTTTTAAGCAGGTGTGATACAAGTAAACAAGTGCTTTTCTATACGATTTAATATCAGAATTTCCGTTAGTATATTATTTTATATAAGGTCCTATCTCATAAAATTTTAACTGATTCAAATAAGGTGACTTATTTTTAATGAGATTGGTACGGTATTGATGTACATAATAAATGGTTGTAAAAAATACATAGGAATACTTATTACCTCCTAGATACAAGAGGATAGGGTAGAACCTAATGTTGAAACCTAAAACCATAAAACCCAAAGTATATTCTCGGACACAAACCCGAGAGCAGGGCGGTCGGTTGGCTGAGGTAGATGACCCAAGAGTGAAAGGGAACGCTTCAGAATCTTCCAGCCAGTTCGGTTCGGTTCTTCAGCTTGTATCTCATGATGGCATCTCTTCATTGGCAAAGGATTCAAAGATCTGTAAAGCTTTTCAGGATATATCTAGTACGAGTGAATCAAATCCTTCCAATCCACATTGACAATTCATAAAATTGTAAATCATTAGAATTCATATAATAAAAAAAGCCGTGAACAGCAGAACCAATAGTTAAATATCAATTATGTGCGACATGTCACACTATCTTTACCACTTCGGGTATAATAAAATAAAAAAAACCTGTTTGCTAATATTGTGAAAATTTATTTTTTCATTTTATGTTAAGAAATGTAAAGCTTAACAGTCATCAAAAACTATAAAAAGGAGATAGGATTTGCAGAACATTCACTGAATTTAGAATTACCTCAAACCTCCATTGGTATTGTTCTGCCTAGGAGAGCATAATGCATACCAAACTTCAGCTCTTTTAATCAGAAGAAGGCCCTAAAAATGCTCAAACTTAGAGGCAAAATATCAGAGATCCCTGAAACACCCAAGTTGAGTTCTCGGGGTCATGAAACGGATTTTTATGAATATCAAGTAATTTTTAACAACATCCTCCTCCGATAAACTTCGATACATGGTAATTTGTGTTGCCCAAAATCGGTTTTGATCTTGCAAGACCAAGACCAGGACTAGAAAAAAATCAATTTTTTAAATAAAAATTAAGGCGAAATAGTTACTAATACTCGACAATTTTAGTTACTATACGTTAATTATTGGTATAACCAATATAATTTTGCATTTAACTTAGGGCGGTCCCTCCACGCCCAGTACTATAATAAAAGGCCTCTGGCCACAGATGCAAAGAACCCTCTTACCTTAAAATGCCCTTGGGCAATAAAAGGTAATTGAAAATTTATGTATATATAACATTTATATATATATATATATTGTATATTGTAATCAAGAAACTCCTGGGGGGTAGGAAAAAAATAAATAAATAAAAAATTTTGCATTTAACTCCTCTAATTTTTCATTCGGGCTTAGTTAGGTTTCTCCTATCTAAAAAATTACAGTAATATCTCTATATTAATAAGCTAATAAGTAACTGCAAGACTGTTGCGAAACTCTTGCGCAAGACCAAGACCATGGCCAGGACTGAGTTTGTAAGACCAAGACTCGTCTCGGTCTCGCATTTGGGCAACACTAATGGTAATGTCTAACATATGTGAGAGAAAGTCGAAAGATAATAACACACACATTATGAAGAATGAGAAACAATAAATAATTCTTTCAAACATTAATTTGATGCATGTAAGTGTAATAGATAACACGGATATATTTTCATATATCCATGTAATCTATTTTATACTAAACAGATCAATATCTAAAATACTAAAATAAATAGTTCAATCTATGATATTTATTTTAAAATATTTAGAATAAAACAAAGCAATATAAACAATGTTTAGTGAGGCTCGGAAACTATATCTTGCTCAAGGGAGAAAAATCAGTAAATATAAAACAATACAAGAAAAATATAATGCACATAAATATTTATTAATAATTTTATGATTCTATTAAGGAACTTTTATATTTTTTCTAATTTATATGCTTATATCTTCCGGGATTTTATAGCCTTTTACTAGTGTAGTCACTAGAATTTTATCCATTTCTTTTCTTTAAAGATTTCCATATTTATTATTTTCTAATTATATTCATTAATTAACATTAAATTGAAAAATTCCTTGGCTGTAAACGTGACGTATTTACTAATCTATTTTATCATTTAATAACGTTGTGTTAAACCTTGTGGATGGTATATAAAGTCTAACAACTGAGTTACGTGGTTTATATTAAAAAAAATAATGAATTCTCTTGCCAAAAATTTAATATATTCCTACCGTAAATTTAAACTAACAGATCATTATTTAAAAAAAGTGATGGGTTTCTTATATACTTTTGTTTGTTATTTATTTAATGAAATTTACAACTGTATAAAAAATAAAACCAGTAAGAATCCACACAATAGAAATAATGACATGAACAGCCTTAAAGAGATACTGCCCAGTGGTAGCACTCCCTATTTAATTCTAGATAAGAAGATCACGAGGCCATCTTCTTATCAGATGCCTAGGGGGATTATTAGGAATCGAGGCAAGGAAGAAGCAAGGCTGAAAACAAGTGGATTCGGATGGGACTGGAGTTTATCATGAAAGGATAGGTATCTGACTCGGGCTAAATAAGCGGCATACGGAACATAAAGGATTGTAAGGATAGGAATTCGATGGTTTGGTAGAGCCGCAAAGCTCAGCTTATATAACTTTAAAATGAAGAAGCATAATACCAGGAAATTATGGATTATAATACTTTTCTTCACTGCTTCTCAAAATAAATCATTGTAAATGAATTTAACATTTCCTTTCGCAATAATCATAAAATTTTATTTATTAATAGTTGACCGTACAGTTAATCAAGAAGACGGTAAGAGGGACCTAAAGGGCAAAACCTAAACAGGGAAAATTGTTTATTGATGGCCGAATTTTTGGCCCAATATGCAGGATTTTAAATAACAAGAAACAATGAGGTGAATTCTTATCGTATGTATCTTGTTCTTTAAAGATCTCCAAAGCGGCGCAAAAACTTTGATGTTTAATAAAGTAGTCAATGAATTATACCATTAAAAATTATTATTAGAATATAAATTATTCTAGTATAAGTAAAATTCCGAGAAAAGCTTTAAATTGCTCAAATAATAACCAGTCAAAGGTATGTATTGAACAATCTTGGAACCTTGTTGTCCCGGTGCCGAGTGGAGGGGGGCTTTCAACTATGGGATCGGTCCTCCACCCTCACCCCCGGGAATACCCCGTATAGCCTAAAACCAAGGAAAGGGAGGGAACAGAAAAAAAAAAGAGAGATAGCAATTAATTATCTTTTATTACATTGTTTGATTGTTTGCATATGGGGTATTGAAGATGAAGAATAAAACGTATTTTATATATGTATTATGTTCATAATTACAATATTCCTCTTTTTTTTTTTTTTTATAAAAGTGGGCATACATATATATATATATATATATATATATATATATATATATATATATATATATATATATATATGTCCGTGTTCCGTAAGTAGAGAGAAGTTTTTAGACCTCAAGACCCAAAAAAAGTACATATAGTTTCTAGTCCTAAAATTTACTTTTAAAATATTAAAAAAACTGCTGATTACTTTAATTATTTTAATGAAAACGTTAATATTAGGATCAGGTACATTTAGTTTGTCACTTATAAATACGGATCAATTCCTATAATAGATAGAGTGAAAAACACAGTACAAACAATTTACCTGGAAAATATTTGGAAATTCTGTATTTTCAAATTAATGTTTATAATAAATAAAATTTGTGTTTAGGCAATTGTATTTATTATAATGCATCCCAGATCATGAAAAAAACAAGAAATAAATGATTTGCAACAGTTAATTGTAATCATTTTTGCTGAAAACAGGGGTACTTTTTCTTATTAAGATAACAAATATCATTTTTTTTACACAACTATAGCTCAATCTCAAATTTTTCCCCAATAAAGCTCAACTTAGTTAATACGGATTTAAAGCTTATCAAACAAAGAAGTTTTTATATTTCAACAAAAAACATGGCTCTCTAAAAGAAACACAAAACTTGGACTTCCTACTTTTCTGCTAAAAATTTGCCCATTGGTTATATAAACGTTTTTGTGTTTTTGTAGGTCTTGAGATCTATCACTCCTTTCAAAATTTTCCTTTACGTGGGGGACAGAAATATATATTCACAAGGAAACTAATTCGACCTCGCTCTCTCTTGAATGCTCTATGTTGTCTTCATTTTTGTTTTATCTTACTTATCATAACGCATTTCAATTACTTGGCTCAAAGGCAGATCCACGGAGGAGCATTGAGGCTGAAGTCTTCTAAAATAAATACATTTTTTTTTTCATTAGTTCATATTTGTCATTGTGAGTGGTGTAAGGGAAACACTTAAAGAATCACAATATATTCTCTTTTTCACAACTAAGTAATTGAAACAGGCAAGAGTGCCCCTGAGTACTGTCATTCCCCTTATCTGACATGTCATAATTTCTTATTTTCTCAGCATATTTGGTGATTGTCAACATAAAATTGACAGGTGCAATTAATGTTTAAAACAAGAAAAAAAATTAGATCTAAAATCATTATCGTCCCATAATTGTATGAATTAGTAATGGCTTTTCCCAATTAGTAAGGGAGGGAAATGTAGAATTATTTAGTATATTGAAAAGTGCTACTGGGAAAGCTCCAAGTAATCGTACATATAAATACCAACGAATAAGCTATAACGTACAGCAGGCCACAATGCAAAGAACTCTACCCGACATTTAATGAACTATTAGGGGAATGCCTTATTTATTTGCAATACATAATATTTATTTGTTATTGTTGTATTGATTACCACTGATTTCAGAATATATTCCATCTAGTTAGATATTTACTAATTGTTTTAATTGCTTATTTTGTCAAGCTTTATAAACTATCAATATTCTAGTCCGTGGTACAGATCCTTTTTATCGAATTATTAACATCCACCTAAAACTTCGTAAATAGTTTCATCTCATCGTAACCTACAACTATTTTATTTACGAAAACTCTTGGAATTGGGACGCTTTCAATCTGGAGGGAGGCAAACCTTGTCTATTTAATTAGATACTAAAAACCGGTAAATACTCATTTACTTTCTACTTACATCGAAAGATAATTTGATCACAAAGTCGAGAAAAAAAATTGGCGTGAACTACACCCCCAAAATTTCAAAATAACGAGGTTATATAGGACAAATGGCAAAAACGTTTTTGCAGAGAACCATTTTTCAAGATTTCGTGATCAAATTATCTTACGATTCAAATAGAAAGCATGTGAGTATTTACGAGTTTTTAGTACCTAATTAAATACACAAAGTTTGCCTCCTCCCCTCCAGAATGAAAAGCCAAATTCCAAGAGTTTACTTACATAAAATAGTTGTAGGTTACGATGAGACGTAACTATTTATACGAATGTTACTAATTCGATAAAAGGGTGTCTGTACCACGGACTATTCATTTTCAAACTTTTTTTTTTTTTAAACTGAGAATTGGAATTAATTTGAAAATGTAATTATTAACAGAAGAACAGCAGAAATAACACTGGCAGATAGATTTTTTCATTTTCTACGTGCTGTAAGATTTATATCTACAATATTCTTTGTATCTTATTATTATGAGCTACTTGCTGCATTATCTTTTCTTTTTTTGTGTGTTATTCTGTTAATATGTATGTGTTATTTTACTACTGTTCTTTTTTTTGTTGGTTTTTTTTTTGTCTTTCTGTTTTGTTATTACTATTATTTTTTTTTTCTTATGCTATCATTTCCTGTCCTTGATATCATATTTGCTGAATACCAATGTAGATGGCAAATTTATTGTGAGGCAGAAATATGTATATCTAATAAATAAGTATCTTATTTATGGTAATGATGGTAATAATCATGTCATTCACACACCATACTAGCGGAAAGAGCCATGCATATTAAATATTTGCATTTCGTAAAAAAAGAACAACTCGGCAAGTAAGTGTCCTCGATCTTAAAGACAATTTTTCATCTCAAATAACACCATATTATTTTTCAATAAGTCACTTTCACTTCCGAGGTGCGAAATCCAAATTATACAATCGCTTTACAAAAAAAAAATTCTCGACAGAACCCCACCGGTTGGCAAACCCGTTAGCGGTCCGAGTCCTGGCCGCTTCCTCACCGCAGAACGTCACCGACCCGGTTGCGCAACGAGGCCGGACACAGCTAATGAACTTTCCGTGTCCCGAAGCCATTGTACCTCGGCGAGTCCGTAGGTGGAGTGTCTTCGCCGATGGTACCCATTGATGGATGATGGTACCCATTGTGCAATGCCCGCTTTCTCTCGCCTCCTTATGTCCTTTGCACAGTTGGGCGCAAATATTTAGCATTGCGGAAGTTACTTTTGCACAAGCCAGGATACTGTGGATAGCATTTCTAGTTTTATTATCGAAAGCTAATAAATATATGTTATCTAACAACTGATAAGAGAAGGTCAAGAAGCATAACTCTAGGAACTTGACGGGACGCGAAGTATTTAGTCTCTCTGTTTTTATGATATTTTTTTAAACAAGTTTATGGAATAATAATACGACCTGCCAAATCGTAGGGCAACAAGTATTACAATGGTTTAGGCACATTAATTAATTGAAGTCCCATTCCTGCGTTGTTTTAACAGAGTTAATTATCAAATAAATGTTTCCATCAATCACACTTCACATCAAAGGTGGCGATGAAAGGGAACTTCAACTCCAATCTATCATTTCCATGCGTTTTATTGCGCGAAAGTTGATTTTAGTTGGTTCGAATCTTCCCGATTTCCCTCTATTTAGAATCTCAATTACCATCTTAATGATCCTTAGGGAAACCAATTTTCAAATGCAATTTCCCATAACTAAAATCATACATGATCGGAAGCTTTATGGAAGATAAGTCGTTTCTTTACATCACTTGCAGTAAATTGTCAAGCAAGAATCTAGAAGAATTTATAGCTTACTTATTATTATTCTGAATCATATTGGGATATATGAATTGATAATCAACTAAATGCAAGTAAATAGTTTTTTTGTACGTTAGAAGGTTTTTCTTCACTTATGCGTAGTCATAGTAAGTCTAATGTATATTTCGTTCATCTAAAAATTTTATATGGAACCGTCTAAAATTAACATACCAAATATTATAATACATTGAACTTATAGTAATCTTTTAGCGAATCATGAATTGCGAAAATCTCCATTGCTGCGAATGACGACTCATCAACGATTAACTCTGGTAAAAATCGGAGACAGAATGCTACGTGAAAAATGGTGACAGAGACATCTAAAAATATTAGGTCGTTCCAAATTAAAAAGATGGTTTTATTATAACTGTGTGTGTCGTATCAAGGTAATTATTTTTCCGATAAATCAAATAGAAAATACCAAAGACCTAATGAACAAATAAAAAGCTACATTTTAAGAAAGTTTAAACTTAGTTCAAAAATTGTGTTTTTAAAGTTATTGATCTATCAATTGTTTTGTACGAGATAATTTTAAAATTAATTCACGTTATGTATTTGCACCAATATATTTCGATAACCATTAAGTAAGTCTTTTAAATTGTTCAATAAATAGTAAAAAAAAAAATTATAATATTTTTAAGTTGGAAGCATTGTACTACCAAGGTGTTAAAAAAAAGTTTCTTCTGTATGCATTTTACTGATCTACCCAAGAAGCAAGTTTGCTATGGTTTCGCATTATGAAAAAAAATATTTTTATCGACCCATTTTACAATAGTTGGCAGATGTAGTACCATTTATTATCCCCTCTCGCCACTATCACAATGGACGCACAGCCTGTGTATAATTATCTGATAAGAGGGAATGATATTAAAACTATTAATAAATTGATTCATCAGATTTACTTTAGGTGTTCTCAGGCCAAAAAAAAAGTAAATACTATATTCTTAAATTCCTCACTTCGATTTCTTCTTTCCTCCTATTAAATAAAAGATCTATCAGACCGATCTGTAAATCTTTCAAAAAGTTTTATAAATATTTTTAAAGTTCGCAATAGTATTAGAAAATATTTTAATTAAAAAAAATATGAAAATTTGCAAGCTCATTATTAATAAAATGTAGTTTCCTTAAAATATACAAACCATAAACATACAAGTGTTTGTAATAAACTTGATAGATAATAAAATTATTTATGATTTGTGATGAAAGTTAATGAAACATATAAAAAAAATTACGGACATCATGTGATTATAATATATTTACAGTTTAAAAACAAATGTTTGAAGATGGTGATCATTTAATTATATCGATATTACGTATATATTACAGAAACTATGTGTGAATTGAAAATAGGCAAAAAAAAAAAAAGAGGGATTATCTATTCTTCATGAAAATACAACCATTCACATAAATTAATGTGCCCTTCAAAAAATATATGTATATTTATAGAAGAAATATACCTTAAACAGTATACCAAAACCATATACCGCCACTGATACATAATAACTGTAAATTCAGTAATTCCTATAATACCAAACAACTCAACCAGCGCTTCAACAAACGCTATAACACTCAGAAGCTGATGTTCTACTGCATGGTCGTTGTTCTTGATGGCTTCATCTGTTCCGGACATCAACTACTGAGGAGTTACTGGGCAGCAATATGGACATTCCAGACAATGGAGTAAGGAATGGGAAACGCCGCTGGAGTGTGGAGTGTCCGTAAATTGTTTCGGAACGGTAAAACCTTAGTCAAGTGTTGCAAGGCAGAACAATAACATCTCGGAATTCAAAAGCTTTAAGAGATTTAAAATAGACAATGAAATGAGCATAATTTCGAAACATTTCATTATTATTAATTCATGATTGGTAATGGATTTTTAACCATTTGTGTCATTTAATCATATATTCATGACAAGTGTGGAAAAACAACATAAACACGATAAATAAATTTGGATATTCCGATGATGAAATAAATATAAAATTCTTTTTTTTTTTCCTCGTCGGGTCAAGACTTCCCTTGAAGTCTTGTACTGAATACAATTCTTATATATAACAAAAGTAAAACTAAACAAAAAAAATCTCGTGTGACCAATCACACGACACGACTATTTCAGAAAAGTTTTTATACCTTTAAATATGTCTTATCAAGAAATACAAAAAAAAAAAAAAAAAAAAAATTAGATTTATTTTCCTAAAAATTGAGCAAAGAAAAGATTTGAGTACGAATTATTTGATAAACTAAAGCAATGTAAACCGGCTTAAGGTAGATCAAAAACGTTTTGCCATAACCTAATTTTGTCAGAAAATAATTTCTGTTAAAAGCAGAGCACATAGTAAAGCTTGAGTAATGCGGGTAACAGTTTATCTTACTTTCTCTTAGTTATCTTTTTACTCTCATTCACCCCTTTCTGAAAGCAGGATATGAACCCGTAATCTGACATTGGAAATTGAATAGCTGTAACTTCGTTAATAGTTGTCCGAAATGAACGATTTCTCTATAGTTTTGTAGCGAATTTCATTACCTTTCAATAGTTTTATTATATATTTTACCATAGGATATATAATTAGCGAGTTAGGCCCCAAAACATTTTTCTTTTCTTTTTAACTTTTTCCCCCAATTTTCTCAGGAATTTAGTCCATGTACGAAAATTGAAAGGCCAATTATTAGAACATTATAGGAAAGTTTCATCTAAATCGTTAGAGCCGTTTTCGCGCTACAGTATATAGAAAAGCATGTTTTTCATTTATTGCGCAACAGCTATTGAGCATGGAGCATCCAATTTGTGTCGCAGGCATCGGTGGTCAAAACCCTACAAAATAAAAAAAGAAGGAATGGAATCGGTTAACTAGTTCCTGAGAAAATCTTGGCACAGACAGACAGACCAATGGCTAAACATGTGTTCTTCGGACTCGGAGGATTGTGAAACGTATTGCCCCGTCGAAAACCGCATATCGGAAATTTGACCCGATCGCAATACATTCCTAATTACCTAGTATAGGTGGGAAAGTCAAAAAAGATAGAAAACAAAATATGAAATATTTTGTTTTCAATAATGTTTGTATCAAAACATTATTGGAACTATCAAAAACAAAAGCTGAAGTACAAGTTAATAATGCCCTGGCCCACAATACGGGGTTTCCGGTAAGTACAAATAAATATTGAAGGGGTCATAGCAGAACACAAGATCTATCAAAAAATGTATACAACAATAATCCAATTGTCTGCAGAAAAGTAGAAAATAGAAGATTTGTTCTTTTTTAAAGTAAGTCACGTTTTTCGTTGAATAGTAACCGATAAGTACAATATATTCAATTTAAGGAATTCACAGTCAATTTACTGTAAACGAAACAAAATTAACTTCAAATCAAATTAAAATTTGTCATTGTTAAAACCATTTAAAGAGGACTTTAAAGTGAACAAATTACGTTATCATTCTCCAACTATACTACAGATACTCTACTTTTTCTTGTAAAATAAACACTAAATCCATATTTACTAAATTGAAGTTTATTACGAAATAAGTTGAGATTCACCTCAAGTTATGTAAAAAAAAGTGATAATTTGATAATCAGACACACTAAAGTACCTTAAAGTTATTTTTCAGCAATAATGACTAAATCACTGCTAACCTTCAATTTTATTTTATACATGAAGTGGGATGTATAATAATTAACACAATTATAAAAATAAACATTTTATTTTTTAGCTCTTTCAAAAATTTATCATATAAAGTGATAATGACGCAGTATTTTATACCCAGAACTCCATTACAGGAATTGATCCTTGTTATATTTAACGTCCAATTATGTATTCCTTAATATTTACATGAAAATCCTTCCTATTTCCCTTCTCAAGAAAAACAGTGACATTAAAAAAAAAAAATCCAGCACTTAAATTTTATAAATTTCTTGTACAGTATCGGACCATAGTTTATTTGAACTTTATTAAAGATCCATAATTGGTAAATGGTTGACTGTCGTGGATAATGAAGAGAAGAATAGTTGGGGTGGTCAGTCAAAAAAGAAGGCAAAAATAAATGATAATATTTATTTTTACATAAGCCGACGTTTCGACCTGAAGTTCAGGCCATCATCAGGTCTTTTCTTCATCAGGTATTTTCTAGGCCCTGATGATGGCCTGAACTTCAGGTCGAAACGTCGGTTGTAAAAATAAATATTATCATTTATTTTTGCCTTCTTTTTTGACTGACCACCCCAACTATTCTTCTCATCTTTATTAAAGATCTTTATTTTAAGA